CCTGGAGGTGTGGTGAGAGGCCAGAAGCCACCAGCCCTGCCGCCTGTGACCCCGCTATGGTACCTTGCACTGCAAGCACCCCTGGAAGGTCAGCCTTCTCAGCGCTCAGGAGTTCCCGAGGTTCTCCCCTGCCCTGGCTGCTCCCCCACACTTTGAAGCCTCCTGTGTATGGGGCATGACTGCCCCCACCTGTTCAGGAAGCTTCCAGGTTGCTAGACTCACAGACAGGCCCCGGGAGTGGAAGGAAGAAAAGCAAACAGTTGGTTTGAAATCACTCATTTAATGTGTATTATACAGCAGCAGGCATTGAGGCATCGTGTCCTTTGCGGTCTGGAGCATTAATAATGTCATAACAGCATTTACTGACACTGTGCACAAATCATCAGCTGACCTCCCAGTGAGAATTAAGCGCCCCTTGCCTTGAGACATGGCAGCCTGAGCCATGCAAGGAGGCTGAGAGCCCGGCAAGACTGTTTCTACATTCCTCCTTTATCACTTTCTGTTTCACAACATTTAGGCTAATCCTCTGGTTGAAAAGCAAAGCGATCTGAGTTTTATTTTTAACATACTTGATGTATTCTGCCACACAACATGAGACTGAAAGAACACAAGCTATAGCACTTTGCCTGCACTCTGAAGTGCTTCACCTGCCCATCTCGCCCAGCGTCTGGAGGTCTGCATCATGCCTCACGATGTGCCTGCAGCGATATACCATAAGGAGGTTGGCTGACAGGGGAATGACAGAGGAGGCTGAGACAGGGGACCCTCCCAGTGCAGGCCCCCTCAGCAACAGGGGCTTCTGGGTGGAAGCTCTTCATTCAACATGTCCTTGGGGAATCCACATTGTGAACACCTACTATGACCACCTGCCTGCTGCTCAAAACATGCCTCTTCATTCTCACCCATTCTCACATGCACATGCCTCTCACCAAAACATGCCACAACACACCCCACACACAAACAGCTACACCCCCAAACACCCCAAAATAATAAAAACACATACATAAAATCCCAAACACAAAAACTCACATACATTCCTACCACACATACATTCCAAAATAAATTCCTTCCCATAATAACCAAAAATACATGTCCCTCCAAACTTCCCTCCATCATCTATTTGCCACAAGTTGGGTTCTCTACTTTTTTCCAAACATGCCTACTACCACCCCAAAAACTTAAATAAAAACAACTTTCAAACTTTTAAAAAACTCCCATACTACTACTACTTAAAACAAAACAAGGCAATGGATTCTCCCAGAACTGCCCATAAAATGCAGCCCTGTCCCAGGGTGTCCTGAGTGTAACTGTGTCCCCCAGAGGTCAATACGATCATCGCGGGGGCTCTAATTAACCGTCCGTCTGTCTTCCTAAACACTTAGGGCAACATGATGGCGAGGAAAGCTACTGCAGCCTGTAGCGTTCTATCGCTGGTGTTATTTGGATTCTATGGGATCGGTTATCAACCAGGTCCAGCAGAAGTCACTTGAAGATGAACACATTCTTTCTTCAGTGCTACTCGGAGAAAGCAGGCTGAGCAGAGAGAGACCTGAGGGGTATCAGACTTGCCGTTGGCCCCTTGAGCAATGCCAGCACCCCGCCCCCTCAGCACAACCAGCTGCAAGCCACCGAGCCTGAAGTGCCCGCGGGCCTGAGGACGATGGCAGAGCTGGCCATATCCTGACGCATTTTGAAAATAGTTGTTGTTTGGCATCGTTGGGGTCGGCCCTAATTCTTTATTTGCTGTGGTGTAACCCAGCAGCTACGTGAAAAAAGAAATTTTTTTTTACATTTATTTCTTTTTGAGACAGAGAGACAGGAAGTGTGTGAGTGGAGGGAGGGAACTGGCGAGGGAGAAAGACACAAGGAATCAAAGCAAGCTCAGGCACCTGACCGTCATCAGCACAAACCAGCGGGGCTTCAAACTCCACGGGACCCAGGGCCTGACCTGGCTGAAGTCAGGCGGCTCAACCGACCACCCCAGAAGCAGCCCCTGTACCCTCCATTTGCTTGCACCGTGAGAAGTGTGCCCTTGACATACCCAGCTTTGCTTCTGAGACCCAGGAAAGCCAGGCTGTGAACGGGCAATGAAGGTGGAGACCGCGGGACAGCAGAGGGTCTTGGCGTGTCCAGGAGAACCTGGGACTCCCCTGTCCCTCTAGAATCCACAGTATGTGGACAGAGAGAAACCTCCCTGCTGAGCTGGCTCAAAGCTTATGGGTTTTTTTTTTTCTTTTGAAATCAGAGAGTGAAATTCACATCATATAAGTTAGCCTTTTACCTTGCATCAAACATACCGGGGCATTTTAGGACATTCACCTGGTTCACACGCAGCCCCCCATCTCCCTCTAGTCCCCCAAAACACTTCATCACCCCGAAGGCTCACACCCACCCTAAGCAAAGCCACTTTCGTTCTCTCCCTCCCCCAGCCTTTGGGAGACTCCTAACGCTTTCTGTCCTCATGGTTGCCTGATGTGGACATTTTATACAAGGTAGGATCGTCTACACCATATATGTGGTCTTTTGTGACTGGTTTCCTTCCGCTCAGCAGTATGTTTTCCAGGTTCAACTATGTAGGCTGATGTGTCGAATTCTGTTCTCTTTCATGGCTGTGTGATAATGTTGCACTGTGGGGACAGACCACCTTTAAACTTATCCACCCGTGGACAACGGGTTAACTCCCCCACCTTTCAGCACGCTGTGGGTTCTTCTTCCCGAAGTCCCCTTCTCCTCCTCCTCCAAAGCGTGCCTCCTCGTCTTCCTCTCCTTTGTGGCGGTTAAAACGTTGTTTTGAAAAGCGTGTATGTGCATACAATGTACAACACTTAAGAAATGCTCAAAGGGTGGAAGCCTGGGTGGCGCGCAGTCGGTGGCGTCCGACTTCAGCCAAGGATTCGCGATCTCAGCGGTCCGTGAGTTAGGGCAGTGGGGCTCTGGGCTGATAAACAGAGCCTAGACTGTTTCCATTCTGTCTCCCTCTCTCTCTGCCCCTCCCCCCGTTCATGCTCTGTCTCTCTCCCAAAAACCAAATAGCGTTGAAAATTATGAATAGTGATATTGCATACAGTACAACACTTAAGAGGCTCTCAAAGGGTGCCGGAAGCCTGGGTGGTGCAGTGGGTGGCATCGACTTCCAGCAGGTCGCGATCTCGCTTGATCCGTTGACCCAGCGTCCCTCCTGAATGTCTTTCGAGCCCACAGGCCTGTTCGATTCTGTCTCCCTCTCTCTGCCCCTCCCCCGTTCATGCTCTGTCTCTCTGTCCCAAAAATAAATAAGCGTTGAAAAAAAATTAAAAAAAAAAAATAAATAAATAAATAAAATAAAATAAAAGGAGCTCTCAAAGGGTGTTCAGCGCCTGTGTCCCTTCCACCCTGCTCCCCTTGACCTGCCACCAGTACCTTCCATGGAGACAACTTACTACCAGTTTCTCGTCTCCTTCCCTTCTGCGTTTGCAACGCAGCAATAGATAAGCGACCACAGGGAGCCCGCAGCCTGTCAGCTGAAGTTAGTGAAGGCACTGGAAAGTGTGTGTGTCTACAACCAGAAAGGGTCTCGTCTCTGAAAGCTAGAACCTCCTCAGAAGGGAGCTCAAGCCTCTCCAGCCAAGAGCCTGTGGAGGGGTCTTAGTGAAATGTATCAGTGTGCTAGGCATATTTATGAATACAGCTACAGGTTAGCAGCGGGAAGGAACAGAAAAGTGGCTGATGATAGACGGGGGAACACTTTCAGGCAGATTCTGCAGTCCATGGCAGTTGTCTGAAGTACAATAGAAAGTTTCCATGAGCAGAAGCCGGGGTCACAGCTGGTGGAAGAAGAGAGAGAGGGAGGCCGGAGGATTGAAGCCCTTGTTAGGGGAAAAGAAAGAGCGCGGGCAGGAGATAGCCGCCGGAGGGGGGGCTGGCTTCGACCCCGACTGCTATCTTTGAAGGTCCTGCGGCAGAGGCGCCTGTATCCATCGGCCCGAAGCGTCCGACTTGACTCAGGTCATGACCTCAGGGTCTGTGGGTTCAGGCCCCGTGATGGGCTCTGCGCTGACAACTCGGGAGCCTGGAGCCTGCCGTGGATTGCGTCTCCCTACTCTCTGCCCCTCCCTGCTCCCACTTTGTCTCTCTGT